GAGGGACGGGGAGAGACGGGGAAGGCAGCAAAGGTAGAGAATTTCAGGGAAACCCACAGAACTTCTGCTGAGACCCTTTCTTCTCTTACCTTGAAACCAAACTCCCAGTGTGATTCATTAGAACGGTGACCACCGTTTCCCTAAGGACAAATCGATCTTCTATGTTGCTCGTCCTTCACTGCCCGGATCACCCGGTGCCTCTCCTTTCTCACCAGCTGGGACTCTGTGGAGGCCAAAATGGGGCCCTTCCCCACCCCTCCAGTGTGCCCTGCCCAGCCTGTTTAATAACCAGACTTGGCTCAGCCCTCCTTTTATCTGTAGGACTCCATGGACGGGGTTTGCCTTTCATACTCGCCATCCCCTCTAGGCTCTCCACACACCTCCCTCTGCCCCAGTGCCCCTCCTCCAAAGACTTGGAGACGTTGATGTAGAGGGTTATGCCTTGGAAACAACTGCCAAAGTCATCAGGATCTCTAAAAACTCACACCCTTCTTTGCCACATGGATATAGAGATGGGTCCTTTAATAGAACAGGGCCAGACTGGGCCAGTCATTAAACTGGAGTGGGAAGAGCACAGCCCTAAACACACACTGAGGCCCTCTTATCAGAAAATTTTTAAAAGCATGGGGTGCATTTCTCTAATATTATTTAGGTGTAGACCTGTAGGGAAGCAGAACAGACAAATTGGTGATTTATGAAGATTTAATGGTCAATGTGTTTCCCCCAGAGGCGGTGTTTGCGTGATAATTCTGCACACTGCATAGAGCGAGGCATAGTAAACAGCGGCCCATGATCCCCTCTCCTAGGTCAGCACTCGGCCTCCACGTACAGACCCTACAAGGGAACGTCTCGCCCTCACCCCTGAAACGTCTCCCGAATGGGAGAACTGAGCTCATTATGTAGGACATACCTTATTATTCTCATTCACTGGCTTTTTTCACCATCAATGTCACCACAGTTATCAATGAGCATGAGCAAAGAAAGTTGTGAATTTAGATGCTGAGTCCCTAGAGTCAACACATTCAGCAGAGAATCTAATTTGTCCTGATTACTCCAGAGTGATAGTGACACCGAATCCACCGGACCCATTCATTTTGTGATTAGCCACCTCACTGGCAGTCTGGGGTGATAAATTGAGATTATAATTACAAGAAAAATTGTGAAACTGACTGCATTGTTATTTAAGTTTAACTTTTCTCTTTAACTTTCTTGCCCAGTGGAATCATTCAAAAGGTTTTTAAATGTGGATGTTTATGTTGAAATAGTTCCAATGGTACATGATCATGCCCTGCACACATAATAAAATAAAAATAAAATCTAATGTGTGTCTGATGTTTTTAGTGTCCCTAGAAAACAACAGGAATCTTGACAACTCCAGTATTAAGATATATGTAAATTTTCAAACTTCTATAGAGGCTTAAACAGCTTTGCTCTAATTTATTTAAAAATGCAATTTAATACTACACCATCAATCATGTAGCAAGCCTGGAAGAACATTGAGATCTTTATTGAATGATACATTTATACAGGAAGGTTCCCTTAAAGCCAACAAGTACTGTGTAAAAGATAGTTATTATCACATTGATGGTAGTGGTGATGATGGTGATGATGGTGATGGTGATGGTGGTGGTGTGGTGGTGGAGGTGGAGGTGGTGACGTGCAGTGATGGTGGTGGTGATGATGGTGATGGTGGTGATGATTATGGTGATGGTGGTGCAGTGATGATGGTAGTGGTGATGATGGTGATGGTGAAAGTGGTGGTGTGCAGTGATGGTGGTGATGGTGATGGTGATGGTGGAGGTGGAGGTGATTGATGGTGGTGGTGGTCATGGTGGTAGAGGTGGAGGTGATGGTGATGGTGGTGTGCAGTGATGGTGGTGGTGATGGTGATGGTGGAGGTGATGGTGATGGTGATGGTGGTGATGCGCAGTGATGGTGGTGGTGACAGAAGATGTGGTGATGGAGGAGTATTGGTAATTAGGGTGGTGGAGATAATGGTGTTGTGGTGAGACTGGTGGTGGCATTTGCCACTTTCTATAGTGGTATGAATAAGTCCCCAGCCAAGCCGAGTGAGAGCCAACAAATCATATAGGAATGGAAAGGATGAATTGCTGACCCCCTCCCTGCAACACTTTAGCAAGTTCTCATCATTCCAGCATTTACTTGCAGATCAGATTTCTTGTGACCTCCACATCAAGAGCAGTACTTTTTCTCATTCACCGATAAATCCAGGGGACACTTAAAATTCATTGCATTGAAAAATATCTGAAAAACTGCCACTTCCTTGTTTCTAAGGCATCAGAGGGTGTCCTACTGTTTCCCCCAAAGGAAGTGTTCCCTCTGCTGTGGGAAAACCATGGGAAGCTTCACCCTCAAACTGCAATATGGCAAAGCTTAAAGTGAAAGCTGTTCCTTGCCTGGGTTATAATCTCCTCTACTAGGTCCTAGAAATACAGACCCATTTAGGCTTTTCTTCCAGGCCTCCCTCCACCACCCACCTTTGCTGGATTCATTTTCTAGCCTAGATGGAGTCTCTTAAAATGTCTCTGTCTTTAGTGTTTCTTTGCCACTGAGGAGCCCTCTGAAAGCCAAAGTCGGCTGTTCATTCAGGCGTGCAGGACTGATAGCTTTGTCTGGTGGTCATAACTCCCTGGGGACATTACGTATTCAGAGGCACGCATCACAGGAGGACTGTGCAATCCTGGCAGCTACACAGCCTGACTTGAAAATTCACCAGGGGATTTTGCCCCTACCCTAAGCTTCCCAAATGCCTTTACATCAAATGGTCTATTCTGTTTTTGTCAGTGTCTCTCTTATGCCTTTTGAAGCCATTCTAATCTTTAATATATTGATTCAGTTGGAAATTGGGGCCCATAAAAAAAGGAAAGGCATTTTCCTATGAGTCTACCCTGAGCTCCACATACAGGGGCAGAGCATTCATGAAGACCGTGCTTCATGTGTCTGCAAAGACCACAGGTTCAATCTCAGCTACACAGTCTCCTCTAAACAGGTGAAGTGGCGGAAGAGCAGGAGGAGAAATCTGCCAGCAGGGACAGCTTTAGCTTAGAAAAGCCACAAATATGACAGGGAGGGAGGCCAAAGCTATAAGTGCATGGTCTACCAAATAATATTGCATTTTATTCTAGCAAGGGGAAAAATGTTTGCTTTATTCTTGAAGTGACATTTTCCATCATATTACAGCTCTGAAGGCAGGTTTTCTTAGGTTCATTCATTCATTCATTCATTCAACAAATAAAGCACTCATCCATCGAGGCCAGGCACTGTCCCAGATGCTGGGGATACCTTCAAAGGTGTCAGCTCACGGAGCTTCTGCTCTCATAAGCAAAGGCAGGTAATACGCAAGGTAAACAACAGAACAAGCTCACCAACAAAGTAATAGCACATGGTGTTGGGCATGATGAAGAAAATAAATGGTAATGAGATAGAGGATGCCAGCTGGGCAGGGTTACTTTAATTGACAAGGTCAAGGAGGAGACGTTTGTGCCAAAACTTAACCGCCAGCAGGAAGAGGCAGTCCAGATTCTGGGGGAAGGGAGTTCCAGCAGCATGGATCAGCAAGTACAACATCCCTGAAGCAAAATAGACTTGGCAGGCTTGAGCAAGGAAAGCGGGCCAGCATAGCTAGGGCTCCCTGAACAAGGGAAGAAGATTGGGAGACACTTCAGAAAGTTAGGCAGAGGCCAGATTGCTCGGAGCCTCATAGACCATAAGGAGCTTGGCTTTTACCATAATCCAATTTGTCTAACAAGATGATTGCTCAGCTCTTGGGAACAGGATGGACAGAGGATCAGGTTTGGGCAGAGTGGAAGCTGGGCCCTCAAGGGGGATTCTGTAGCATCAGTCCAGGCAAGGGATGGTGACTTTCATGGTCATACAGAGACGGGAGTGGTGTGTGTTCAACCAGAGTCTATCTGAGTGGTGTTTAAAGTTGAAAATAGGCTCTCAGCCCTATTTTACTTGTCAAGTAAAATTTCCCAAGAGGGGTTTTATTGTACAACTATTATGTGCTTTTTAGTAATAATCACAGGTGAGATGACAGGTCATACTGACTGGCCTGTCTCTATGACAGAAGAGATGGTGTGTCATCCTATTTCATTATCCCATAGATACTGGAAGCAAAAGATAAGCCCTTCTTTATTTCTAGACTGTTTTATACCCCAAAGAAACTCTACAAAAAACATTTCAAATACTTGATTTAATCATGACTTTATAGTTTCTATGAAGGGAGTGGTGTCCCGGGCCCTTGCTCTGGGCATATGACGTGAGCCTCAAGGGTTCCCAGTGAGGAAGTGGGCAAATGAGTACCCTACCCAGGCCTTTGGAAGCTGCTGGTAACTGGGAGAGACTTCCCTTCTTTTTAACTAGACCTCAGGCTGATCTCAGGACAGTGGGGGGCTCCAGTCTGTCTAACAGGATGCCACAGCCACAGCCACGCAGACACGCAGGGCACTCACAGGTGGTGCTTCCCGCCTGGCCTTCCGGCCTTCGAGAAGTGAACAGTCTGAAACATGACCCAGCACTTCTGTGAACTCAAATTAGAAATTTCATTCTTGTCACTCTCCTGCTAAAAACTAAGGTGCTGGTACAGATTCCGGCATGCTTCAGTGCAAGTGACAAGCCTTTATTATCTGCCAGTTTCCACCAGAAAAGAAGGCCATAAAACTTGCAAAATGACCATCTGTTTGCCGCACCTGCTCTGACCCTGTCTGCTATCTGAACGTTATTGCAGGAGGCTGACATGCTATGAGGATTTTATAGAAGAACTCTGCTTCTTTCTTAATATTTGTATGCAAAGTGAGGTGTTCAGGGCCAGAGAATGTCTTCCACTTGGAAGGGTCCACGGAAAACCAAGCTTGTTAGGGCAAGAACTTGCCTCGATAACATTAGTTCTCCATTCGAAATCTCGCTCTCTTTGCTAATACGTTTGTTTCCCTTTGCTTTCAGCTCAAAATACTGGAATTTCAACTTTGTATAGGAATTCATATGGTGCGCCCACTGAAGACATCAAACATAACCAGGTAAAAGAGATACAGAACGTTGGTAGTTAACCTATCTCACATGGATAAAGAACAGTAATAAAAGAAAGTATGGTTCCCTGCTGTTCTTCCTCAGACATCAGCCAGCATCCATGTGGCTGGTGGAAGTCCCTAGAACAGCCTGAGATTTGGAAAGCCTTAGATTTCACCACAGCCACACACTTTGTTTTGTGGTAGAATGCAAGTTTCCTACTATGATGCAAAACTAAAAGGAAAGAAGGCAAGCCCCAGGGACACAAGTGTAAGATGCTGGTTACTAGACAAATTGTCTAATTATTAGGCAGGGAATTAAGTAGCTCCTATAACCCAGCCAACTCTCATTCAGAAGAAAGCATTCATTATGAGTAATAGTTACTGATAAGATAGACATATCAGCTTCAATATGAACAACTAAATAGAATACATTTTAAAGTACCTTGCAACTGAAAGTTTAGTTGAAGGACCAGCAGCCCAGCATCACAGGGAGCTTGTTAGAAATGCAGAGGATGTTCTTCTGTGTCCCAACCCCCAACCAAGAGGTCATTTACATCAGACTCACATTTTATCAAGATGTCCGGGTGATTTTGGGGTCTATTCAGATTTAAGGAGCTGATCTAACTTTGTGTGTATGTGTTTTTTCTGGCAAACATTCATCGAAGCCCCTTTTCTCCATGGTTCTATGGGGACTATAAAAGCCAAAAGGGACAGCCCCTGCCCCTTCATTGATGGGAAAATTCATACTTTTCTCCCCTCTTTGGTGGTCATCTTGGAAAGAATGGTATTCCTTGTAGCTGTTGGCTACTAATACCCATTGCTGGAACTAGCTTCTTGCTGAGGCTCTAGATTCCTCTCGTGCATCAGGAAATTTGAGCTGAAAGGATGAAGCTGACACCTGTTTGCTTGATCACAGTGTCCAGATGAAAGCCAACGTGGAAGGGCAGTGGGCTGTTTTGAACATTTCTCAACACCCAGCAGGGCAGCATCTCTAAAAATGAACGCGACCCCCTTCTAGCAGGTAGAATGTCCTGGGCAGGACCATTTCTAAGGGAAGAAGTAGGAGGACATGAGAAGTATCTCCTAGACCTGAAGTTATTTTTTGCTCTAATCAACCATCAACAGTAGAAATGAGAGTAGGTAGAGGAGTTATCCTTTTGCCCTCAATTTTCCAGTTCATGCACAGCCACTCCTGAAACATCTGGTGTTGTTTGCAACCCCTGATGACTGCCCGGACCCTCCAGGCTGCCTGACACATTGCTAGCATCTACTCGGCCTCCCTAGGTTCTAGTTGTTGCTAAAAGCAAAAAATCCAGTGAATAAATTGAATAAATAAGTCGGGGTATGGGCTCTAGAGGAGAGATCACCAGGGGTTGCTTCCAATTATTCACATGTCAACATGCCTGCCTAAGCATAGCAGAAAATAGAAACAAAATGTACTGGAAATGCCAACTCTTTATGGAAAGCAATCCTTTTTCCTTTAGCAANCCTAAGCATAGCAGAAAATAGAAACAAAATGTACTGGAAATGCCAACTCTGTTTATGGAAAGCAATCCTTTTTCCTTTAGCAGATATCAGGTACTGTGAGTAAACTGTTCCCAGCTTTTAAAGATATTTGTAGGATGTAATAGGACCCTGATTTGCATCCAAGAGAAGACTGGTCTTTAAGTTAGGTAGCTCAAGAGAAGTTTGTCACCAGAATCAGCTTATTCTGTACCAGCCCTTCTCTCATGGAATTCTGCTATTGTTGGCAATGAAGAAATGCCCTGCTGTGGCCCAGAGGTCCTCGGCATCTTACAGTGTGGCTGTAGGAGGTTCCAAAGGACTACTTGCAATCTAGATTTAGAGGACAGTCCATAATGGTTCTAGGGGCACATTCTTTTCACCTAAGCCTCTTCTGAGCACTTAAACAAATTAGAATTAATGTGCCAATGTGGCATCTCTACTGCAAGAGAGAGCACAGCCTACTGTAGCCTTTTCCACAGGGTGCCCCAGAATGTACTCCTCTCAGCCTCTGTGTGAACATCAAGGCCACAGTGTCTCAGGTGAATGCTGCTGAAACCCAGCAGGGGTGGATACCAAGCCCTGCACCACTTGTCAGCCCAGGGAAGATGCTGTCAGCAGGCCACTGGCAGAGCTGAGTCCTGTGGCCATAGCTTAATGTGATCATTACTCCCTGAGCAGGTCCAGCAAAGGGAAGGAGGCAATTAGATTGTTATGCCATTCTAGTATCAAGAAACATTTTAAAATGTCAACCAAAGAAAATTGTTGTTTTTCCTTAAAAATTTTCAAGGAGATCATTATGACACGTCAGTGAACTTGAGAAGAGAATAAGGTGTTTTACTTATTTCAGACTTTGTTACTGGAATAAACATTGGCTGTACCTGCAGTGCCCATTTGGGAACTGAATTAAGTTTCACCATCCTAACCATTTGAAAGGAGAGACAGTCTGGCTCTCTTCCAGTTGGGTGGGTCTAGAGACCACCTCATAGACCTCATTCACAATTTGGATTCTCTGGCCACGTGGGCATGGCCGACCATTCCAGATGGAATGTTCTTATTTGGGGAACTTTCCTGAGCCAAAAGTGACCTCACGATCTCTCAGCTGGTAAAAATCCAGCTTGAACGATTTAACCAGGAGGGATGCTCTGGGTTCATTCAGTTGCAGTGTCAAAGCTTGTCCTCTGCTGAGCATTCTAGGCTCCTGAGTGTCCTAGTCACCAACCAGGCTTCAAGAGCTTCACAGAGGTGGCTGGACAGCGACTCATCTCAGAGAAGAAGTGATTCCCTAATGGAAACTGGTTTCAGGTTGATCCATGAAATAAGGCAAAAAACAATGAGCTGAGAATGGGCAACAGCTATGCATGGACCAGTGAGGTAGGGGGCTGGGCAACAGCTGTGACCCAGGCTTTCCATGACTCAGAGGAAAAAGAACCAGGCTGCCACTCAGCTGTGACTCTCCCCATGTGACTGCCTGGAACTCCAGTCTCATTTTTCAGTGAATTCCAAGCTTCTAGGAAAAATAACCATTAATGTGAAATAAGGTTTGTGATCCTTGGTTTTTATGTTTGGAGTCAACAGGTTACAGGGATCATTTTAAGGGTTAACTACTCAAACACTCCAAAAATTCTCCTGAACTTCTAGCAATCCATTCCATCCTTATAAAGAAAAGTAGCATACTGAGGTGTATATATCCAGATAGCAATAGAATTTTTGTTCATAAACTAGAAACAAAGGGATTTGGTGTTTTAATTCAAATTATTACTGATGACAACAAAACAGCATCTGGAGTTCCTGCTTGGTTTCCTCAGTCTCACTGCCAAGTGGGCAGGACAGAAAAAATTGTCCCCAGAAATGAGGAAATTGACATTCCAGGTGGATAAGGTTTGCCTTTGGTCACCCAGCTAGGAAGAGGTAAAGACTCTAACGCCCTTCTCCTGCCTTCTTATCCCGTTTTCCCTGCTCTATACCAATGATTCTCTAATTTGAGCATGAGTCAGACACGAGGGAGGGA